TTTCTGATACACATTCAGAAGTGCATGTTGTCTGTGGTGGTTGAAGCCTTTCCAGATGTGAATATCATGAGCTTTGCCTTTAGGCAAAAACACTTAAATAGATTTGGCATTAATAAATTACATTGTATTTTTTCCCCGTGACCTGAATCTGGTATGAATCATCCTTTCAAACATTTTCAGAAATGAAAATTAAATGCCAAACCATTGCAGCATTCATTAGGAGCAATTAAAAAGCATTCAGAACATTTATGGCTGTAGTTCACTGGGTTGGTACAGCTCTATACTACATCACTGTTGGAGTGCTATCTGTCCCCTCAGTGCAGTTATGCCAACATCATGCTGGCACAGGAGCACAGAGCCACAATCTTCCTCCTCAGAGTAAAAATGGCTAGAGTTTTAGGGTTGTTCTCAAATGTGGTTTAGACCCCCTAGTCTTTATTCTAATTCAAAGTTGTCTCTCCATCATAGCTAACTGGTCCAAATGGGAGTGAATGCTCTACAGGATGTATTAAGTAGGTGCGTCCAGACACATGACCTTATCTCCACTGCCTCACATTATACATTTCAACCAGAGCATTTCTCTTCGATATTCATCTCTCACAATGATGCTATTTAAAGTTTTTCTGATCTGTCTCACAGTTTAATTCCCCTAAGCATTAGCTCATGGCCATTTTACTCATTTTCTACTTTGCTATAATACAGCGACAGAAATGCAAAGGTAGTGGAGTGATAAATCATGTCTGTCATGCACTAAATATCTTGCTTTGGGTAACTCATGAATGCTCCAAGCAGTGTGAATTCCACGGCTTTACTGTTTAATGTCCAGCATATTAACACACTGGTATGTAAATCACATTTCATATTAGTCACTGTTTATTTTACCCTAGGAACATAAATAAGCATTAAGCTTAATCCTCTAGACAATATTTTGCTTTGTGTAGAATTTTCACTAATCTTAACTCTTGGGTAACTTCTCAGCTTGGACTTTTAAAAACCGAAAGCCTTTTTATTCTGTGCTGGTGAATGCAACCCAGCACTGCTACAGCAGAGCGGTTTTCATTTGATTTCCCATCTCAGTTCTTGAAAGCAGATCACATCCTTCTTTAAAGTCCCCGAGTCTTTGTTCTGACTTCCATGTCATCGTGCTATGAACAAACAAAAAACAAACACACCAAACACTGGAGCCATGCATTAGGGTAAGTGCACACACAGCAGGTTTCTCATTGAGAAGTGCAGAGGAACCCTGATTTATGCAGCTGGTTATGAAAATATTTTGACAAGAGAAAATTATGGTTTCTATCGTGACTCTCTAAAACTCTTGACAAAGGTCTTAATTAAGATAAGGAGAAAATAAAATATTAAAAGATTTAATAGTTGAATACTGAGTTTTCCTAAAGGCAACAACTGGAATCTGAACATATACAATACTGCTAGAAAGGCAGTATTTCACTTTCAATATGTAAAAGTTTCACCTGCAGAAAAGTCTTGATCTGCCACTTCAGACAGCAGAGAAATTTAGAATTGCTTACAGAGATTACTCCCATCTTTATTGTCTGCAGACTTTTTTTTCCAGAGAAGTGGGCTTTGATATTTTTTCATCCTTCTGTTTTGCCCAGATGGTGATAAGGACGACATTATAACAAAATCAGGACATGAAAAGGAATTATTTTTTATTTAGGGTAAAAAAAAATGTGTTTCTTCAGATTTCACCAAAGCAAAACAAACCTAAATAAAGAACCTTACAATTCTGAAAACTGAGTTTGCTGCCTTAAGCATGACTGCTCCAGAGTGGTGGGGAGTTTTTTTACACTGCTTTTTCAGGGTAAATCTCTCTTCAGCTAGAATACGATAAATTGCTGAAATGAAAGAAAAAACCTGTTTCAGTTTGATTAAAATAGTTTTGAGCATATTTACTGTTGTGTTCTGAAAACCAGGAAATTTAACCAAGACATTTTCTGTGATTCTAGTGATTTGTTATCTGAAAGCTTTGTTCCTAGAACAGCTAGTGAAACAAGTGTTTCACCCTCCCACCTTCGGCCTTTCACTTTATAAACATTTCTCTTTAATGCACATATTTATCAGGATTTGATAATGAAAATAAGTACAGAGGATTGTGCTGTTTAATGGGCCAGAAAAACACCATCTCTTAATTCTGTGAAGTGACATTTGCCATCATGCAGTGGCCTCTGCGGAGCCTGCAGTCAGATTCTGTTCTCGTTGCAGGGTATCAGTGGGGAATAAGCTGTCCTGGGACCGGTGAATGTCACACGTGACAGGCCTGCCTAATAAGCTCTTTGCAGCCTACTCCCTTGGGCAGTTCTTCTTGCTGGGCTGGGAACTGGCTGTTCTGCAGCTTAAGCTGTTGCTAAAATGAATGCAGTCTGAGGGACCCTGCAGCTGCCTCTCCACCATGAGCAGTCTCAGACAAAGCTTTCCAAACAGGTACTGGAGGTGAATAGAATAAAACAGAGCAGAATGGTTTAAGTTTTTCAGTTGGAAGGTGAAATGAATGGGTCGGACTAGAGGTCCTTTTAAGGCCTTTATTCGAAGAACCAGCTTGGGTGGGGGTCTGAGGAGTCACGCACACCGCCGCTGCTCCCAGTTTCCATGCGGAGAAGAGTGAAGAGATTGACTTTGCCAGACAGCAGAGTCAGAGCTTCTGTCCTCATGGGAGTCCACAGGAATACTCACTTCCCTTGCCTCAGAGTCCAGGATGTCATTCTGGTCAAGTCCCCTCATGGTTATGTCGGCTCTTGGAAGGAAGTCAGGGGACTCCTTTGGGTGTTCCTCGTTTGGTGGTGCAGTTTTCATTTCTTCCTTTTCGTGTGGCTCGTTGTCTCTAGGTCTTTATTAGTCTGTGTGCGTCCCATGAGTCTCTGGTTCTCCCTGTTTACATATAAGCCCTTGTGTCATCCTCCTTCTTGGATGCCATTTTGGGAAGCAGCAGCGGTGGTTTCCCGACGGGACAGGGACATAACAACGAAAGGTAAATACAACCAGAATAAAAAACCAGGAAAGAATTAACTATCTGAATGTGAAACATACAACTGATCTGCAACAAGAACACTGGTCAAGGCTTAGCATGTACATCTAACTTATTTCTCACAGAGGGGACCTGCAACAATCACCTAGTCTAAATGTGGTCAATGGCACCTCACCTTCTCTAAGTCAGGGTCTGGGAAATGCTAAAGAAGTCATAGTGTGTGCACAGACTCAGCACATCAACAAAGCAGTAAGATTTGAAGGAAAATCCAGCCTAGTTTGGTCCTTTGAACAAATGTGTAATTCCCAGTGATGGAAAATTATTCTTTCAAGTAGTAGGAAAGAACTTTTATGCTTTACTAGTGGTTCTTTGTCTGCTTACATCTCATTTTTGCGACATGGAGAGTTACTAATTAATATATTCATGTATTATTAAAATTTGAAAAAAGATGCACTTGTATATGGAAAGCACTTCTAGGCAATTTAAATTAAGCTGAATACACAGCTGTGTATTCAGCTAAGATGGCACAGTATGGGCTTACAATTCTGATCCCTTTTTTCATTCATCTTTCTGTCTCTACTGATGCTTGTCCTCATTTCTAAGTTTCCATGTGGATGTAAAACTTTGTGTTTCATGCTGTGGTTGTGTAATTTGACATACTTCAAGACTTATTTTCAAAGCCATTTGCTCAAATGATTTAAGCTCCTGCTAAACCCTTCTATTCTGAACACCTAGGAAGGAACAACTTAGTAATCAGATACAAGTCTTGCACATTTTCTTGATAACTGTTCTCGTTTTCATGTCTGTAGGGAAGAGTCTTATTTTTATAAGAAGTTAAACGTTAGTTAGTGAGTGCATCAGCATAACTTGATTTGCCATGTGGGTGTAATAAAAGCAGTACAAAGGCCAAAAAAATTTTCATTTTAAGTACACATTAAAAGTTAACCTGCAGCCTTTTCCACTTTGCTAACAGTCCAGCAAATACAGTACATAACTTTGTGCCCTGAGCTTTTAGATGAAACTAATTTAATATTCATTAGTTGTTTTTCATGGTAGAGTTACCACTCATCACAGCTGAATGCACTCTTTAGGCCAGCTAATCATCTGATTTGATCCTTTATCATGAAAAACAGGTGAATATTTATTTTAAGTGGTTTTTGGTAGTCAAGGAGTCTGAAGAGGGAGAGGAAAATTGGTTGGTTTAGAGTGTTTGGATGAAGGGAGTAGCTGTGTTTAATCAGGGCCAGATTTATGAAGAGGAAGCCAGTGTAAAGACTCCTGTTGGAAATGATCCATGTGTAATACCATGGTTTGACCCCAGTTAAGTCCATGAGACATGTCTCATCTAGATGGAAATTAGAAAACTTAAGGTAGCTACATTAAAGATAGAATAAAGCTGATCTGTGAACACTTGTGGATCTACTCCCTAACTCTTAAAACTGCCTATCAGATTTTTTTTTTTCTTAAGGCTATTCAAATATTCACACATTTCTTCTGTGGTTTTATGTCAGTAAAAATCTATGCTTTAAAAACAAAAAATTCTTCTCCCTCACTGATAGTGTGTGTTTGCAAATTTCATGATGCCCTTCAATGTCACATCATGAAATTCAGGAAGGAGACATACTTTGTTCAAATATTATTTTTTTCAGGCATTCAATCTTAATCCCACTGATGCATTTTAAAAAAAAAATCAGGTACAAGGAAAAGATAATTTATTATTCAGGTGTTCATAATGCATGTGAAATAATTGGCTCTTTCCTGCTTTTCCTTAACTCTCTGGGGTTTAATTTTGTTTTGGCACAGTGCTTCTTGTAATAACCTATAGACTGCTACCTTTAGCAGTTATCTAAGGGTGTTTTCATCTACATTTGTGGACTTGTTATAATGCTTTGTACTTTAAGTTTTCTTTGTACTGCTTTCCATGTACACTTATCTTCAAAGTTATGACTTATTTGTGAAACTTGACCATTATAAGCGTTTTACATTTTGTTTCATCTTTAAAGCTGTGATCCTTGAGAACTCCAAGCCAATATTTTGCAGTCAAATTTCTTTTTTCATGCTGGTTTTACTTCATGGTTGCAACTAGCAATATAAATTATGCAAGGGAATTCTGGTTGCATTAATACGTCCCTTACGAAACCTAATTAAAGCATCACTAAGGAAGCAGAAGTCTTCCGATTTTTACTTCAGAGGTCGAGGGCCCAGAAATGCTGTTAAACCCATGAGAAATCAGCAGTGTGAAAGAGAATTGGTAAATGAGCAAGAACGAGGAAGTATAGATTTTTTTAAATTTTTGTTTGCTTTTTTTTGCTAGGGCTGCTGCTTTCTGACTCAGTTTTCTTTAAACAAAACAAAACAAAAAAGGAAGGTAAATATATTAAATCTGCTGAAAATGTCAGATGCAATTATCTACACCATGCCCCTATTTTCTTATCAAAAGCATGTAGCTCTTAGAATGAACACTGGGCAACTTGCATCATCATTGTAAGTTACTCGATATGAAAGCAAAAGGCTGTAAAAAGGCATACATATGTGGAATAGTGCAAGGCCAGCTGGTGCCATTTTTTTATTAAGTGGAACACCATATATGAATACTCTGATTCATGTGCTTCATATGTTTACAAACATATAAAAAGCATTTGGGAGAACAGAGGAATCGTGGCTGTGTCCTCTATGATTACACACAGTCAGCTACTTTCTAATACTAGATGTTTACCTTTTCAGAGCAGATTATATTATATTATTTTCCATTTTATAAGATTGCGCTTGTGGAGGTTGACAGGAGGGTCACAGGTTTCATTAGAGCAAAATGACAGTTAAGAGAAGAATTTGGAGTTCATTCTTCTGAGAACCTACTGTGACTTGTAGGTGTCTCTGTGGAAGACAATTGGTTTTTTTACTCCTCTCATCTTGCTCTGTATGTCATATCTCCTGCACCCACTTAATAGATAAAGAACAGAAAAATGAAATTAGAAACAGGAAAATAAATACAGAAACATTTCCCCAGTATATTGCTTATATTAAATATATATATATATCTATATATATATATCTATATCTGTAGCTGTATCTATATCATCTATATCTAATCTATACACACACACACACATTTAAAGGACCATTTATTAAGAGATTTCTACATTTCCCCTCTGAATAAGGTACTCTGCCACTCTCACTTGCAAATTCAGCTCTGCCATCTCTGCCACTTAGAACTTCTCTTATGAAGATGCTTCATTTGGTGATTATTTTTCTATTAAGGTGTCCCACTTCCAGCTTTATGCAGCAATGCCTTCCTGGCTATCTTATGAAACAAATAAGGAAATGCATGTAGAAAATTAGGTGTCTAAATTTCAAAACCATTTCACTAATGAGAAATTCTTTGGAAAGAGAGGAGGGAGAGGAGAATTGTCACCTTTCTCAGAGACATCTGACCACCAGCAGAGCAAATCAGGATTTGTAAGCAACTTGACCTGGCTGAGTGTCTGCAAATAAGCTGATGTGTGATGCCTCTGTTCCACCTCCTTCTTCACTCACTGTTAGAGATTTTATGAGTATCATTATATTCTATGATAAAGCTTCCTACTCTGCAAATTCTATTTGAAAGTGAAATAATGCCAGGGAGTCTTTAAAAAGTATGCCATATTTTTCAAGGTATAGCCAATGTATTTCAAGGTACCAAAATTATCTTTGATTTAGGTTTACATCAAATGTTAATCCAAAAGTTATTAGTTGTGTTTGTTTTGTTTCTACACTCCCATTAGTTCAGAAGCAGTGCCACTTTCCATTTCACAAGTCTGGTCACTTGCTTTTGATGTCAAAAATGAAAATAAATTTAAGAAAAATACCAAGGGAAAAAAAGTAAAGGTAGTTCTGCTTTTAAACTGAAACATTCTAGAAGAAACATTAAAATCAAGAGAAAGAAAATTACTGGTTTCTCTACACAGATGGTAAGTTAAGTTTTCTAGTAATTTAGGGAGAAGTAATAGTAATAAGGTAATTTAGAAAATATTTCAATATGGGATTCTGATTGTGTCTGATACATTGTGGTTTTGAAAACATTAAGTTCATTTGCAGCAAAAAATTTAGACATTATATTCTTGAATATATTTTCTTTTGTATTTGCTCTCAAGGCTTTTTTTTAATGAAGGCATAATATGGAGGTAGATGTGGAGGAAAATGTGAAGGACTGAAAAAGTATCTTATTGTCAGATTTTAAAGTATTTATCATAGGAGTGAAGAAATTGCACCCTGATATATCAGGAAGAATAGGTATCAATGAACATATTTCAGGTAATGGATGCTTGCTATACAAATAAAACTGTGCATGCTGTGAATATGTAAAGAATAGGATCTGCACTTGAGCTGAACTCAAGGCTCACTGTCAAAAACAAGGAATGAAACACCCTGCTTCTTCCTTCAAACCTGGGACTTCTTTGGAAGCTCATCCTGCACTATGGCATGATTGCCTCTCATTGACATCAGCAAAACCTCTATACAGTAAAAGATACCAAAAATTAATTAAAAATCCCACCAAACTCAAAAGTGTCTTGTGTTTCCTCTGCTGTATCTACTCTTAAACTGTCTTTATAATTCAGAATCAGATTCTGCCTTTTCAACCGTCTTCAAAAGAAAATAAAGATGAATGATTGCTTTAATCCTTGGTATAGCTTCTGCTTCCTGCAGTGACTTCCCTGGGGAGGTTAGCTGCATGGATGGAGAAGTGATGCTTTCAGTGGAGGCTATTGTGAAAGTAAATTAAACTCCTAACTCTGCTTTCAGTCTTTGCACTGTGCTGCTCACATCTATCTCGTGACTAACATCCCTCAGCCCAAAACACAAATCTTGAAACATCATTTCTGTCCTTAAGCAATTATGCAAAGTATAATTAATCTAGCAGATTCTCAAGTTAGTGTCCAGTCTGGTCAGGCAGAAATGTCACTGAGGGGAATTTCCAATGGCCGCATGATCATTGTGCTGGCTAGAAATTAATGTGCGCTAAGAAAAATGTTTCCATCACCAAAAAATCCAGCCAAAGTACTATTGTAATGTCTGAATGTTTTACAGGTGAATCTTTCCCTAATTGTTTTATCTTGTGAAGAAAATCTATTAAAAAATGCAATGATAATTTGTGAAACAACTTTGTGTATTCCATTAGGGTTCCTCTGGCCGTTTTAAGAAGAGTAGGGAGTAAGAACACAAGAAATTTCAGGAAGCTCAGGGAGGTCCAGGACGTAAGGCCACACAGCCAGCTTAACTCTCTAGGTGGCAATTTCTAGAGGAAGAAAAATAAGAAATGCCAGATCTACTTCTGTAGCAAGTGTCTCACAGTGGCTGCTGAGAGCATGTTTGTGTTATTTGGTGTGCAGTAGCACTCTCTTTGGTCTGGTACTGTTTTAACACACTGATTAGTGCTCAGGTCTGTGTATTCACTCATATATTTAACACTCAGGCTTCAGGACTTCAGTCACTATCTTTCAGAAAGGCAAAAACATGAACTTTCATTGTATACAGCAAAATAACTCAAATATGGAATTCAACATTCAAATGAAAGTATGTTTCAAAATATACAGAAAAAAATACTTTCACATGTGCAAGTTCCTAGTTTTTCCTGGTGAAAAATTGCTAATCTATGCAAGTGTTAAGTCTACTCTTAGCCCAGAATACCTCATAGCTTGCAAGGGAAACAAGATTTCTTCCTGCTCCATACCTGTCAGGTTTCTTGGTATCCATCCAGCAGGCAAGAAGTCCACAGTTTGATTTTCCTTTCCTTTTTCCACTTTCTTTGTTCTTCTGGACACTGTCTGCTAATAAAAACAGAAAGACTCTGTTTTCAATAGCCAGTGAAGCTGATCACATCCAAGCCTGGCCATGTGCAGCCTTGAGATGGTTCTAGTCCTTACAGGTGAAAGTGAGAGCAAAGGAGAGAAAGAGCTCCCTTGTACCATCTCCATCACTAATTCCTGCCAGGGCTGCTGCAGTTAGTAACCCTATCACATAATAGCTACACAGCAATTTCTTCTGATCTAATGTACATAAAGCCCTTGAGCACAGTAGTGCTGATTCCTCCTCTTTTCAGAGAAAACTATCATTGTCTATTTGCCTCTATGATCACTATATGATTGCTGTGCTTCATTACTGATTTTACAGTTGGAACTCCAAAGAGAAAGCCTCTTAATAAATCTTAATTTGATGAATCATTCAAGTCATCCAGCCACTTGGCTGCTGGCTGACCATTTTTCACAGTAGTATTTTATATATTAAGATATTTTGGTTTTTCAATCATAAAAGGTTGCTAAGCAATGTACTGTATTTGCCCCAGAGTAATGGGATACTGCTCTAAAATATTGCCTTTGTTTAAAATGTTCTTGTCTTTAAGAAAGAATAGTAAATAAACAAACAAAAAACCTCTCTTCCCGTCTGGTAACAAAAATGACATTTGATGGTCTATGATTTATTCCTTCAGGAAAAATTCTTTCCATTTCTTTGATTATGTGCTATTTTTGATCTAATATCTATAAAAGTATTATTTTCTCAGACTGGAATGTATTTTCAAGTTAAAAAAAACTCTAACTTCTTTATCTTCCTTTCTTCTCCCTTCCTCTCCTTCTCTCTTAAGCATGCATTGTGGAAAAAAAAAATTCTCTGATATTATATTTTATTGCAGAACCCAAGCAACACAATCCAGCTTCTCAAATACTTAAATAACTAGTACTCAGTTATTTTTCAGATTATTATAGAAATGCAGTATATCCTCCCATATTGGTGTCTGCATTTCAAAATCCCGAAGCACTTCTAGATATAGCTTTGTTAAGCAGTTGGAGTTATTAACTGTTTAGTAGAATCAGACCCAGTGCTACATTGGAATGCATTTCTCCATGTTATCCTATGAAATTTCTTTTCTTCATTTTTGTCTTTGTGTTGTCCTCGGTCTCTCTCATCCTCTGAGATGCTGTATCCACCTAGGAACCACAGAGACATTTCCTTTTGAGCAATTATTTTCAAAGATGATAAGTGATGAACAAGAAAGTAGTAAAACATATACAGTTACTAATGAAAGAAAAAGAAAATAATTTAGAAATAATTTATAAAGAAGAGCTCTCTACCTTGTTTGGCTGGACATGCTATGGATTTTGTGGAAGCATGTTGTCATTTGAAGAGCACTGGCGTTAGGTCTCATTGCTGTCTCTACTTTTCATTTTCATCAAATGTGAAAACTGCAAGAATGACAGTAAAATAAGACAAAGGATGCATTTGTCATTGTCTCTACTCATAAGAGCACATCCCTGCCACCTTTGTGAAGCAGCATGGGATGATATGGTGCAGGGAGCCATACAGCTGGGAAAGCACACTTGTCAAACTTGGCAACAGTCGCATATAGAAGATACATCTGCAGTGTCTGTGGCCTTGTGAAGCTTCTTCAGGCACTTAAAACCATTTTTAAATGTAATTTTGGAGTTTCTTGAAAAAAAAACAAACTAGCTTTCCTGATCAAATGAGGGTGTAGTAAGTGAGGAAAGAGTGGTGTTGGACATTTTTCCACCTAACTTTTCTATATGGAAGGAGCTTTATCTTCAAAAAAATCCCAATTTTCTTTAACCAAAACATTTTATCCAGCTTCAGTCTGATGATGCTACTATCAGGCCTAATATTATAAGTGAGCCTGAAGTGCAACACATGTATCAGGGTCACAGGAATTAACATTTGGGGTCAACCGTAAAGCTTCAGGTACCACAGGATTTAATGACAGTGTTCCAATGGAGAAGGAATATGCTGCCTATTAAAGTGCTGAATCCCAGATATGGTACACAGGTTATAACTGAAATGTAAAATTTAGACTCAGATTGCCCTCTGATTACTAATTGGCTGTCCTTATCCAAATATCTGTTCCAGTACTCATCCCAAGTTCTGCTCCAGAGGATTCGACCATGGTATCTTTTAACCAAGGACACTTTCCTCCCCAGTTTTTAAACTGGTGTGTAGCTTGGAATGGAGGAGACAATGAGCTTTATTCTTTGCAAAGAATAGATATAATTGCAGCACATGCACTCTGTGACTTCCTTTCCATCTCCTTTGTGGTCAGGAAGAGATGAGCCCATGAAGCTGTGGAGTAGTTAATGTGCACAATCTCTGCATATTGCAGAAGCATCAGAGGGATTATACCCCTCATCGTAACTCCAGGCAATGCACCAGCCTTGTTATTGATTGTATCCAGAAAACACAACCTCAAGGTAAAAAAAGAAAAATGGGAAGACGGACAGCAAAATAAATACTTTTCTGATTCACTTTTTTTTCAAAGTTGAGAATCACTTTCTATTCTGTTTCATCAGTAAAAATCTACTCTCCCAGTGAATCCTTATCCCCCCAAAAATGGAGTTCCTTTGTTTTATTTATGTGACTGAGAAAAGAAGCAGGACCTCTCTGACTGGAGGATATTTTATATTTCAGTGGAGTTGTTGATTCCCTTGGGGATAGGGCAGTTGATTGGCTGAATTAAATTTACAGCGGCAAAGAGAATTTTAATATTGATTATGACCTAGGCCTGTAACATATTTTGATCTCTGTTGTTTCCTTGTCTATTTGCACACTTCTGAAATGATTAAAAGGTACTCAGACACAGTTAATATTGTCTATTTTCAAACCTGCAGTGAAATAAATTCATCTTGTTTTTCTTTTCATGTGCTTTGAAATATTATTTCTTTTTTATTAATTAAAATACATGATTTATCTTTCTTGTCTGAATGGTTTTATGAAGTTCTAGAGTTTTAACTAGATAATTAGAATTAAAATTAATGTTTTTCAAGCATTCTACAACTTGGTTTCCCAAGGATTATACCTGATAATTTTTAGTTTGTGTGTAGACATGAAATTGAGATGACAGAAAACAAAAAACAAAAAACCAAAAAAACCAAACCAAACCAAACCAAAAAAACAACAAAACTAATTTTGAAGCTACTAAATGTGTTACAGTCTTGAGATCCTAACACTGCTCATAAGTTTATGGAAAGCTCTGTCTAAGAAAAGGCACAAAGTGAAAGCTGCATCTGTGGGAAGTCTCTCCTATTACCCTAAACATTTGGGCAGTCACAATAACAACAAGCACCAGGAAATCCCAGTGGTCTCTGTAATTTTTTCTATTCCTGGAGCTTTGAATTTCTCTCTTAGGCTTGCTTACAGAACGTGTCTGCTTGTAGGTCTTTCCAGTATAAAACTCATGCCCTAAAAAGCCAGATTGTGCCAGTTATCCTCACAGCTCAATGCAATCCATTTTCAAAATTACTCATGAGACTTTACAGCAGTACTGTGAGTAGGTTAAAATGAAGCTAGAAAGCCCTGCTCCACTGAACTCTATGGCAAAATTCCCTCTTGCATTAATCGTGCCATAATTTTGTCCCCAGAGAGTGAAGGGTAGAATTTCAGTGAACATTTGCAGGAAGATTAGCCTGTAATCCCCTCTGAGGGAATGGAACTGATTGCTCTTACAGTGCATGTTTTGAAATTAAGCTGCTTGTGCTAAAGAGAAGGTAATGCATAGGACCAGCCCGGTGTACAGTAAAAAAGCCAAATTTTGTTCCTAGTTTTAATAAGAAGTCAGAATGAATCTGGAGGAACTGCTCGTCATTATAACTGGGACCAGCCACTGTATCACTCTGATCACTCTTACATTAATGTTACACTTAATGAGCAGGATGATTGTGCTGGGTTGTGCAACACAGAAAAGCCTGCCAGCCTCTTTTGGGGGGAGAAAAACAGAACATGTGAAAATGACAGAGTAATTAGCAGCACTTTAATTACAAGTGTAAGATTTCAGCAGCTGATGGCAAATCCTGTTTTGAGTTATGTGCAACAAATGCAAGAATCTTTTGGGTAGCCTGGTAATGTGGAGAAGGAATGAAATGCACTAGGAATGTGATTAATTAATTGCCTTTGACTGGAATGGACTACTCATTTAAAATGAAAACCTCTTTTCAGGTAGAAGGGACAAATGGTCACTAGTGATTTGCACTGTACCCAGCAGGTCACGTGTTAAAAACATTAGCAGAGGTCAAGAGAAAAAGTTGTGGATGGCTTCAGCCTCATTAACCAGAGAATGGGTAGAGGTAATTTAGACATATCATGGAAAGAGAGATACACTATTTTACTAATCCCCAGTAAAAAAGAATACATATGGCAACGAAGGAATATCGTGAATAAATTAAGCTGCATGTCTCTTAAAATCTCTGATTTACATGTGTGTATAAAATACACAGATATGGCAGGCATCTCAGAAACTTGCAGCTTAAGGGATGCTCTGCCATCCTGATCAACATCTTGCTGCTTCATGTAACTAAAATAAATAATTTCTTTCACAATCTGCTCAAATGTTATCTTAACATTGCAAAGCTATTTTCTTGTCCCGCTTGCACATGGAAAAGCTCAAGACAGCTGGGTTCAGTCAGGACTGCTCCAATACTCAGAAAGTTCTCAGATTCACTGTATTCATGGGCCTTTTGTGGCCATTTGTTGAACAGTAGTTTTAAGCTTAAATGATTCCTGTCCTCTTGATTTTTCCTACAATCTCCTCTTATCCTTAATTTTGGCAACAAAGCAACCCAATTAACTTAGGAGGTATATTTGCCTTTATTTACTTCTCTCCTTACAACCATTCTTTTTCTGTTTCTTGTACTGCTCAGCTTTCTTAAGGCTTTTACCTCTGTCAGTCCCACTGTGAGTAGAGACAGGAAATTTTTTCTTACCTGAAGCAGTGAAGTTCCTGGGATACTCAAAAAACATAGGCTAAAGCATAAACAAAAAGTCAGAAATAGTTTGGAAAATCTGTCTTGATAAACAGGCTGGCTTTACACTTTTGCAATATTTATTGATGGTTCTTTAAAGAATGATTGATGTGATTTTGTGCTTTGCTATTAATCAAGAGTGTTTACAGAACAGGTGCTACAAAGTAATTTCAAATTCTCAGTTTCTATAATTAGAAATAATCTGATTTTTGACTCTATTTGAAATCTACATTAAAAATGTACAGACAAACAAATAAACAAAGCCCAACAAAAAACCAATAGAATCATTTGGACAAGGGATTCTGATATTAGAACTTGAAATTCAAGTCAGTTATTTCTCTGCCAGAAAAGGCCTTTTATTTTTCTGTTGACTCTCTCTCTGTTCATGTTTTGGGTTTTTTTCAATAAAACCAATGTAGGAAAATAGAAAAGAAAAAAATAATTAAAAATTTAAATTTAATTTCTCAAACACCCTAGTTCAGGTATGCTCTGACTTAGGTGATATTTAATCACCTCCTAATTGATTGTTAAAAGTGAAGTTATTAACTTTGAATATTAAGCCTATTATGGCAGTATACAAATTTGAGAAAGTAGATAAGGCCAGGACATGATATACACCTATAAATATTTGCCTAACTATGTTTTTATATTGACTTATATTATCATTATATATTTATATTGGCATATAAGTATATTTGCTTATTGTTTCAAGCTCTACTTACATAATTTAAATTGAAAAGTGAAGGTTCTCACTAGTATTTTTTCAGGTATATATTGCTACAGAAAGATGGTGGCTCCCATGGTAGTGCTAAAATTAAATTCAGCCACTTTAAATCTGTAGGATAAATTCTGAAGAAATTAATCACAAAACTCAGGGGACTGACTATTACATTAGACACAGGAACCAGCTGAAAACAGTTAGTTTAGTTTAAAATGTGGCACATAAAAATGTAAGCTCCTCCTTCTATCTGTGCATCTCCACTGATGCAAGGATATAGATGATTTCACTTGAAGTGTTTTGAACCACAAAGTACAAGACTGAGCCCTTAACACTGATTAGGGATCTCCTATTAGACACCTTTTCTTAGGATTTTTCTAAAGGCAAAAGACAAAGGGACTACTTTAATGATAACTATGTGTCTTAACTACCTTATAATTCTGTTGTAGCAATTTAATACTTATTGCCTCTATCTCCAGTTGGAAAATGTGCCGTCTGGGGACCGTGGTTCATCCAAAACAGTACCAGCCTAGCTTGCTGCCATTTCCCAATGTGCTCTGAATGACTATTGGGCTTCATTAGCACTCAGAGCCCATCACCTTTTCTTATTACCTGAGCCAGCTGATGGCTCTGTTGGCTGAACAGTTTTAACTCCAGCTGGTAAAACAGAGCTGACAACTTCTTTTTGAGTCAGTTGTTATGTATACTGAGGACTTAATTCTGT